CGCTTGTCTCAACGCGTGCGCCATTGCCTCGTACTCTCGCCGCCAATCCGAATCCATGCACGGTGGGAGCTCTAGCCCGCTTCTCGGCGTGTCTCCTCGACCAAGGGGGTCGCTACTGCATCTTTCCACAGTGCCGGGAGGCGGTCTTCTGGCCTGGGCTGGTGGCGGGTCGGTTGAGCCCTGTGGAGGTGCGGTTGTCGGGGATCCCTCACTCCTCCTGCCCGCTGTCCTGGTGGCTTCTGGTGTGCATCGCCTGCTCCTGGCAGCCTCTGGCGCCGCGGCCCTCCCGCTTCCTGCTGTGGGCTGCTCCGGGCTCGCTCGCGTGCCTGTTGGGGAGGTCGGATCACTTCTGGGGGGATATGTGGTAATGGCGGTCTCGGTACTGCCCGAGGCGCCAGTATCGTTCTCTCCTGCTGGCGCAGCGGGGGCGTCCGTCGGCGCGGGGCCATCTGCACTCCCAGGGTTCCCACCCCCTTCGGCTGGAGGTGCCTGGGTCTGTCCCGCTACCCCTCTGGGTGGCGCGGGATTCACTGGGGTCACCCGCGGGGGCACTTGCCCGGTGTTACCTCCGCAGCTTCCGCCGCTGCCCACCGCTCCGTCTCCTCCTGGCGTGCTGCCCAGGGATGGTGGTACCGCAGCTACGCCCGGTGCTGGTGCCGCCGCCTGTGGTTGTGCCCCACTCGCCTCTGCAGCCGGGCTGCCTTCAGCCCCGGTAGCGTATCTGCTGGTTTGCTGGTCAGTCGCCAAAGGACCTGCACCCGCCTGTTCTGGTGGCGCTGTCGTCGCCGCGGGGCCTGCGGGGAGCGCTGACGATCCTAGGTCTGGGATGGCTGATGAGCTTTCGGCGCTGGCTTGCGTTCCTGCTGCGTCGGCCGCGGGGTTTACTCGGCTGCGACTTCTGCGACCTTCGGCACCTGGGGGGCCGACGTGCCTGTCTCCCGCGTCCGCGGTTCTGGCCACCTGAGAGCATCCTCTCCGACCCCGAGTCACTCTGCCAGGGTCGTGGCGCTGCCGTTCTTCCCAGTGGAGGTTGGAGAGCCCGTTGATCAGGGCGTCCAGGGCGGTGGTGACATCTTCTGGGACGGGATGTGAAGTGGCGACGTCCACTTCGGCTCCTCTCGATCCAGGGACTTCGAGCCATGGCTGGTGTGCCGAGTATGTGGCGTCAGGTTCGGGCGCGAGCCATTGTGTGAACGGGAGCTGCCTTGTGACTTCCTCTCGGATCCCGAACTCACGAATGAGTTGCCACACGTGGTCACGGCCCAGGTTCCTCGGGTTGGCAAGCTGCAGGATCCAAATGGCAGCGAACATATCCCAATTGTATCTCTGCATGGGCCGGCCTTCCAGCTGCCTGCGAATTTCGAGCGCGATCCGACGCTGCACACCTCGGGCCATGTCGTGGACCAATTGCTCAGGGACAACTGCGACAAACCTGCCCAGCATGCCTCGCGCGATTCCTACTGCATCCTCGTCTGCTCGTACCAGGTCGCCCGGGGAGGGTCTGCATGTGCTAACAAGGACCTCGGCAAGCTCTGGGAAGTGGGTGGGTCTGGCTGGACCAGGGAGTGGGTTAAGAGAGGCGGTGGTGCGTCCGGGGAGAGGTTGCTGGATGGGTGAATTGACCTGCAATCCCAAGGAGGCGGGGGACGGGGTCGCCGCGGGAGTGGAGTCCAGGCGCGCGACGTGGATTGCGCCAGCGGCCAGCTGGAGCTTCACTCTGGCTTGTGGTCTGTTTGCGCCTCTTGTGGACGCTCTGATGTCTGCATCGGCGGGGAGGAGCATCGTCAACCAGGAGGGAACCGTGGTGAAGAGGAATCCCGCCTAGCCGCTAGTGGTAAGCTCTACTGCTCCCCCAGCAGCCACTGCCGCGAGGAGGTGCTCCCCTGGCTGAAGAACAGTCTCGTAGTCCCGTAAGCCTTCTGCGAAGTACTCGCTGGGTAGCGTGTTTGGAGCGTTCCTTCTGATGGCCCTGGCATTGTCTCGTAGCCAGTCGCCTGTGAGGGCAGGTGGGGCGGCCCTGGTGTTAGCTGGGTGCGACGCCCCATTCGGGCCAGCAGGTAGCGGCCAGAGTCGAGTTAATATCTGAGCGTTCGCTGGGCCCACTGCCGCCGAGTAGAGTCGAAGAGCGCTGTGCCCGGGGAGCCAAGCATTCGGGCGCATACTGCGTAGGTGCACTTCTCCCAGTTGGGCGCCGTGCCTATCCATAGTGGAGATTTCGAGGATTTGGGGCTGTATGGCACGCCTGGGAGCTTGTCGGACGGAGGATCTGGCCAGCGCGTCCACGTGCTCCTGCTGTTCTCTGGAGACGGCGGCAGCTCTGTGCATGGGATCCCTGCTCGGTGTCGCAGGGAAGATCCTGATCGTTTGGGCGCCAACCGCGATACAGCTGGCGCCGACAAAGGCCGCCGCCATGGCGTCCACGGCCGCCAGGCGCATGCGGACTTGCGTCATGCACCTATAGTCCGAGACGTCAAAAAACCAAGCAAACACGGTGAAAACTTGTTCGACCGTGTCGGGCCCGGTGGTGGCCTCTACGGCTTGCATGACGTCAGCAGGCCGCGTTTGTCCCATGTCAGCCAGGTTCCATCGCAAGTGGAAGCCGCCCTCGGGGTCGGAGAGACGTACAAAGAAGGGTCCCCCGCCCCAGGGTCCTTCCAAGAGGATTCTGCGCGGTCCCAGGGCCGGCGTGGAGGATTCTTCTCCAAATATACGCGGGAGCTCTCACATGCTCGTGGATCCTGCGCATGTCGGCAAGCGTGACATACGTACGGGGCCGTCGAATTGCCAGCGTTTGTGCTCTAAGGCAGTCAAGGTCTGGGGCCGCCTGCCTGACAGCTTCGGCTAGCTCGTGTAGGCCCAGGAACGGCTGTAGCGGGGCTAGGGCACCGTCCCGTAGTTGCAGTAGGTCTGGAGGCACCGCAACAGCGGCGGCGTCGGCGTCACAGACTCGTCCGGGCAATCTTACGATGATACTACCCCTGTCGTTAGAACGGCAGTTGGGGCAGTTTACTGGGAAGCATCTTCCGTAGGTATGGGCCTGGGTCGGCTGGCTCACTCTCCACTGACTCAGACACTCACCATGGAAGAAATGGCCGCATGGCATCAGGACTTCCGCGGTGCCCAGAATGTTCTCGCTGCAAATCATGCATAAGGGAGTGCCTTCGCCGAGATCCCAGGAAGGGGACCTTTACGGCATCCATGGTTTCTGGGGGGAGTCTGGCGTTGTCCCCAGGGGGCTGGCCGATCCGGGCAAGGCCATCTCCCAGGCTCTCGATGAGGGCTCTGGCGGAGACGCTCGCCTCAAGATGCGTCAGACAGGCCTCCTCGCCTAGGTGACTGATGAGGGCCTGTATTTGCACGTTACTGAGTTCGGAGTATGGCGTCAGATTGGCCCCTGGTGCCTCTCTGTTGAGGCAGGTGACCACGTCTTCCGGCGCGTGCATTTCAGATCTCGTCATCCACCGATAGAGTACATCGCAGGGCCGGGAGTCCAACACTCGCACCGTCAGCGCTGGCCTCAGGAGGGGGAAGTAATGCGGGGCCAGGCAGAGCCACAGGGCTTTAGACATCCAGGAGCCTGGTTGCCCATTGGCTCTGTGGTCTAGCAGCACGCTCTGTGCGAGGCACTGCGCCTGATCGCAGTTGACGGAAGTCCTTCCTTCAGGGGCGGCCATGGTGCCCCTGCCTGCGCCTTCCTCATCTCGTTGCCTGGCGTCTAGCGTGCGGATGAGTCTGTCCAGGTGCTCCCCCCTCGTGCTGCCTGGTGGTAGTCTACCCTGGGGGAGAGCACCTTGCGCCCGATTGAGCAGATGTCGTATGTCTGCGTGCCGGGGAGTGGTCGTGCTCGCAGCTTCCGCCGCCGCGTCCTCGGCTCCACGCTGCGCCCTTCCTACATGCGTCGGTCCTTGGTTCCTCAGATTCGTTCTCTGTTCGCCCCTGGCTTGCTCCGCTCGCGCTCTTGCCCCCGCTTCGACTGCCCGCCGGCCCCCTGACAAGATGGCGGACTGGAGGGAGCGACTCGCGCCCAGGTGCTCCATCATCCACTCCTGAAGCCGCGGCGCGATATAACTACCCGCTTCGGGCGCATCAAGCGTGGATCCAATGGCCCTGGAGGATGCGTCTGCCTCTGCAGCGAGAACCACCTGGGCGCCCCTGTACGACAGGACGCCTCGCGCTCTCCACCATGTGGCTGCCCGATCGATGATGTTAGTATTGATATTGATGGACCTAAACGCCTGCTCGAGAACGATGCGACCCCTGCTCGCGGCAGTGCCCCAGATGAACGGAACCCAGATCCGGCTCCACTGCATGCCTGGGGTGACGGTGTTACTGGCCACCATTCTCCTGATTCGGTGGACCTCGTCGACAAAAGATCCTCGCTGGGCAAGTTCAGCAGGGGAGAGGCCTTGCATGGGATCAGGGGGAGGCCTATATTGGGCTGTTCCTCTGCTTCCATCTTCGCTACTAGAGCTTCTTCCGCCATCCCTGGAGTCGCCCACGTCCATGGGAGCGCCTCCGCCACTGGGTCGATCCGCATGCGCGTACTCTCGAGCACAGCTGACTGCACCTAAGCGTCGGATGACGGCATCGGTAACGAGGTTTCCCAGGGGGGGTCCTTGCCCCATCTGGGCATGTAGCGGGCGCCATTCGGCGCGGGCTGCGGCCTGTAGCGCACCTCTCATGACCTCAGCTGCCTGAGCGTGGGGGCTGTCTCTGGCGTGCCACCAGCGCCTACTGAGGTCTACGTCATTTCGGGTATCGCTTATTGCCTGGTCGAAGTAGTCGCCGCCAATGGTGTCGTTTAACCAGCTCAGATCATCCAGGTCCACCACTGTGTTCGGTCCTATCGCGATCGTCGTGGTTGGCCTGTTCATTGGGGGACCCCTCCAGTGCGGTGGTGGGTGCGCGATTGGATCTTCGCGATAGAGCTGCGGTGGGAACCAACCGCCGAGTCGTCCATCGGGGCAAGTCCTAAGGACTCGTCGTACTCTTAAGCAGGCCTCAAGGGCCCAGGACTCTGGCGCGGAGCAAAGCAGGGCGAGGGCGGCCACTGCTGGGCGCAGTTGCATCTCGTCTCCAAGGTCTGCTCTGTCGATGAAGCCGCTGTTGGCCCATGTGCCGGGTTGGGACGCCATGTGCCTCCAGGCTCCCAGAAGCTCACCCACGAGCCAGGTCGGGGTAAAATCCGTGGGGCCCGGCTGAGCTGGAAAGTAAAGGTGCTCTGCGATTGGGGCGTATCGCATGCCTGCCCTGACCAGCTGAAGTTGCAGGGTGCTATCAAGGAGGTCGAGGGCGTGCCTGTTGAGTGGCTGGCCCGTTTCCGCGCTGGGGTGAACCTGGCGGGGGTCGCCCGACTGCTGCTCGCCTCCGCTGTAACTCCACTGGTTGCAGTGTCGGCCCGTCGGGTCTCGAAGCATCCACGATCCGCAGAAGTCGCACCGTTGAGTCGGGCAAAAGAAGTCCCGCAGCAGCAGGCGGTGCGCCGTGGTGGACCAGGGCCACGCGTTGTCATTTCTGTCGCCACTTTGGATCGGTACTCCGGGGATGCCAATTGTGCTGGCCGTCACTCCTGTTAGACCTGGCTCTGCCCATGGTACGGGGCCTCTACCTGATTGTCGTCTCGAGTGTACGTCGTCCGTTCGAAATTGCCCCTCCTGGTGGCCCACTGTCTGATGTCCCTGTGGTCCGGAAAATGAACTATGTTTTGTCTGCGCTCGTGAATTAGAACTCTGTACGCGTAAGCTCTGGTCTCGTCGTCCATGGGGTCTTGGGTACCGTCTGGCCGGTTGGGGCCGCTGCCGCGCAGTGGCACAGCATCACGGGGAGACCTGGTGGGCGAGAGCATGTTGTTCGTGTCGTATCCACTCGGAGGCTCCATCCCGATGTCGCAATGGTGCGCTGCGGTAGTCATGACGGTGTACTCGAGACGTGCTAGTTGCATTTCCACCACGGAAGGGTCGTCCGCGTCCAGTCTTTCCATCCTTACGAAGGGGTCGTGAGTGACACTCGCGAAGCGGAAGGCTAGCACCTGCGTCGGATCAGGTTGAGTACCCCCTAAGCGTCCTTCGTGGTCCCCGCCTGTGACTGACCAGACCAGCCTGGAGAGGTCCATGATGGCGAGGGCTGGTGCCGAGGTGGCTCGCTGAGATCCGAACCCGGGGAGGAGAGCGTCGTTTGGGACCGCTCGCAGGGGGCTGCCTTCCCGCATAGACCAGGGCGATGCCCCCTCCACGCGTGGTGGGTGAGGAGTTCCAGGTTACTGGTTTGGTCTGCGGTTCTAGGTGCCCCTCGGTCGGGGATTTCACGCCAGGGGCCGTCGATACGTACTAGGTGGCGACGGAGGGCATTCATGGTGCCCCCCCTGCCTGTGACCAGGGGGGGGGGTGAGATCCTGCGCGGCGTGTGCAGAGAAAAAAAGAACCCCACTTTGGATGTGGGGAATAAATACACACAGAGAACAGGATTCCCCATATCTTCACATATAGTTTCTGGGCTTCTATCTTCCCCCCTCACTTCCCATCTTTTCCCATCTCTTCTGGGAATCGACGATTTTTGTGTCTGTGTGTTGTCTCTCCTCCTGATCGGCGGTCCCAGCCAGCGAATCGAATCGCATATCGACTTGGAACGCCGGCGGCCCTGCCCTGCCGCGAATCGATCTCGGGTGCTCGGGCAGGGCTCCGCGCCGCCCCCGGGGGCGCCCCCGCGCTGCCCCCTCGCGCGAGGCGGGGGCGGGGCTCGCCCCACCGGCAGTCCTGGGTCCAGACCCACGGGGGAGGGGGGGGGGCGCGAGGCAGTGCCAGTCACGGCGCACGCTGGCGCTTCGGGAGGTCAGGAGGGGCGCCGACGCCCACGGCGACTCGAGGGCTGCACGCTCTGTGTCAGCGCATCCCGAGGCTCATCACTCGCGAGGTTCTGCTGGCAGGCGCCAACCCATCGGATGCGAGGCGGCAGCACAGGGGCCCTGGACACCCGCGCGGGCGCGGCTGCACGGCGGGCAGCAGGTCGGCAGCTCCAGGCATCGACGGCCGGGGGCCGGCGCAGAGGCAGCGAGGCAGGAGCGAGCACGCGATGCGGCTGCCGCGTTTGGCCACGCGAGACGGGCACGCCGTGCGACATCACGTGCGGCCACACGAGGCGAGCACGCGCAGCCAGGCCACTCCAGGCCACACGAGGCGAGCGCGCCATGCGATGTCAAGTTCGGCCGCACGCGACGAGCGCGCGCCGCGCAGTGTCACGCGCGGCCACGGGAGACGGGCACACGATCTGATATCACGCGTGGCAGGTTTTTTTTTGTTCTCCCAGCGGACCGATAACAATGCAGATGGCACTCGAAGAAGGGCACCGCGCAGCTGCGAAAGCGAGAAATCGTCGATGGAGAAAGAGCACCCTTCATAGAAAAAAACACCCGCATCACTGTGGACGGCTCGCGAGACACGGCTGGCCATTCGTGCGCCCCACCGACCAGACCCCCTCCCACGTCTGAACGCCCCTCCCGCCCCCTGCCTGCTCTTAGACGTCCGGCACCTCGGTGCTGCTCGATCCGTGAGCCCCTGGACTTCTCGACCTCTGACACGCAGCCGGGAGCGGGGCAGAATCGGATCTGCACCACTTGGGAGTCTCTGAAATCTGGACATTCCGGAGGATGCCTCGGGCGCCGCGGCCACTCCAGAGCGCTGCATGACTCTCTGACAGCGCTGCGGAACGCTGGGGGACGACTTGTCCCAATCCTGTGAGCAAACAAACAAGGACCTCTAACACTTTGGGAGGGAACCTGACTACCTACCAGACCACCCCAACCCAACCCGAAGACCCGAAATTCGGGTTGGGGGGGTACGGGTTCCATATGTGTTTGCTCGATGTTCCACGACCCCCCCAACTGGAAATCGAGGATAAATTGGGGCATTCAGGTTGGGTTGGGGTGGTTTGGTGGGTGGTGAGAACCTAGAGGCCCGCAAGCACTAGGGATAGGGAGCGCTTCTGCAGATGTCTCGGACCAAGCCGCCCAGGTGCAACATCCAATATCCCCAGTGCGAAGACGGGGATCTGAGTGAGGCCATGCCTTCATCGTGCTACCAAGGCGAGGGGTGATTTAGTTCTCGATGACCCCGGGTCAGCCAAGGAGCCCTTCCCCACGGCCGGCACCTCGTCCGAGCCCGTTCCGTCGGCCTCGAGGACCGCAGCGTGCTTCCCGAGGCTGGCCGCTGGGACGAGCTGGCCGCCCCGGAGCTCCCAACGAGGAGGAGGAGGAGGAGGAGGAGGAGGAGGAGGAGGAGGAGGAGGAGGAGGAGGAGGAGGAGGAGGAGGGCGGCGCACGTCCGGGCTCGGGCCCGCCCCAGCGCCGAGGCGGCCTGGCCAGCATCCGCTTGCTGAGCTCCTCCGCGGCCTTCTTGATGAAGGGCTTCGCCTCGGGGGGGGGGCGCTCCTCCTCCTCCTCCTCCTCCTCCTCCTCCTCCTCCTCGTCCTCCTCCTCCGCCTCCTCCTCCTCCCTCCTCCTCCCTCCTCCTCCTCCTCCTCCCCCTCCTCCTCGCACGTAGCTCGGAATGAGTTCGTAGTCTCTTAGCTCGCTCGATCGTCCAGTTGCTGTAACAGCTGCGCTCTGGCAGCATGGGCCTGCTGTGCTATCAACGTTGGGTCAACATTGGCCTGGCTCCGAGTTGAGTGGTATAAGTAGAAACTCAAAATCAGGCGTTGCACAGCTAGCAGACGTTGGTCACCACTCATATCCTTGCCGATCCCCAGTCTGCGATCAAGAAGATCCTCAAACGGAGCCGACGGGACCCACATGGATTGCACAGCACCCCACAGCAACGGACAAGACAAGTAATGCTTCTGCGTGTCGCACTCACTGGGGCAACCGAATTTGCAGGGGATGTTGACCTGTCGAACCCTCCGCTCCGTCGCCCACCCGCCCACCACCGTCTCAATAGCCGAGGCCTGCCATGAGGGCGGAAGAGCACTGATGCACTCCTTGAGCAGCTTCCAGCTGCAGGCTGCCTTGGCCCGGCTAGAGAGAGGAGCCGCCGTCCACTTCTCCATGCGCTTAAAAATGGTGTCTCCTAGATTCTCTTGGAAAAGTTCAACCTCCAGCCACCTCGAGATCGTCCTCTGAATAGGGACCACAGGACCCCCAGCCACCACCTGAAGCATCTGCGCCTCTCTGAGGGCATCCAAGGCGAGAGCAACGGGGCGGGCGAGACGACGAGAAGAGGAAAATCCATTATCGGCATCAGCAAGCTCCTGGACAAACGAAGGCTCAATCCAGTGTTCAAGCTCCCACTTGTCCTGCATCCACAACTTCATTGGCAAAAACTCTTTAGCCGCGTGCTGCTGATTCTTCCATAAACTACGCCAATTCGTGATCGTCTGTCTGGAGGCGCGCAGGAGAGCGGAGAGCGACTGCACGAGCATAGACTGCGGCCGAATCTTCGACCATTGTCTCAAGGCCAGCAATTGAGAGAGGGGAAAGGTAAAGGCGGGGAGGTGGAGGATCTTGTGGATAGCCCACGACTTCTATCTCAAGATGGGCTGAGGCATGCGGGAGAGCTGGGACAGGTAGCTGTACTTCGATACTGCCCTAGAGTTGCACAGAGTGACGGCTATCGAAGGGGCGGCCTTTGTCGCAGCAAGGTCTTTAACAACCACAACCCACTCTCGGAACGCACGGCGCCGCACTAACTCTCTCGACGCTGCTGGACCGATCCACACCCCAAGATATCCCGCCGCAGAGACAATTTGACTTGCTGTCCACTTCGGAACAAGTTGCTTCAACCCCCTCTGGACCTGCTCAACAAGATGGGAGGAGAAAGGGGCGGAGACTGGGACGATCTGGCACTTCGGAATTTTAAGCCATAGGCCAGCGAGAAGACGTGCCGCACAGAAGGTGCCAGGAAAGGCGTGACAGCGCCGCAAGCTCCCTGACCGCCACCCCCACATCATCCGCGCACACCCCCACCTCCGACCCAGGATGCTTGCAAAGCCTACTTCTCATGCCCCGAATTAGTGGGTCCATCGCGAGAGCCCACAGGCTGCCACTGGACGGGTCACCCTGCTTTACTCCTGAGTCGATCAGGCAGAACGGAAGCAACAACCTCTGCAGCGCTACTCGAGCCGCAGCAAATGCATAGGTAGCACGCAGGAAGAGACGAAAACCTTCAGGGATACCTACCAGTTCCAGGACTCTCTCCAAGGAACCATGTGGATAAGAGAGGGAAAGGCGCTGCCGAAGTCGAGGGGGAGGAGAAGAGGCAGATTAACAGCCGCCGAGGGGAGCATGTTGGCAATCCTAGCTGTGGGCTCTAGAAGCGTGGTGTTGTTAAGAAAGTTCCCACCTGCCACAAGTCCACGCTGGTCGCTATGCAGCTCCTTCGACAGGGTCGGGCTGAGACACTGGTTGCATGCTGCTGACAAAATCTTTACATCAGTGCTGTTGAGGGCAAGGCCTGGCGGTGGCAGGCCCACGAACGACGAAGCTCGCATCTTCCGCCGCCCTACCCCTGGGAGCAAAAACCAGCAAGATATCATGTAATCCAAGGGGGGGAGTCCAGAGAAGAGTTCCAGGAGCAGCACATGGAGCACAGGCACGGCAATCTTCGCACCTCTCCACGCCGAGTACGGAAGCCCATCAGGGCCTGGAGCCGTGGGAGATGCGTGAACGAGAGCATTGCGAAGCTTTTCCTCTGTCGGCGGCTTCGGGTTCGACCTATCAAACTGCTTGATATGCTTAGTCAGGCACGCATCTAAGCACTTAAATGGGGCTGGCTTCGGCGAAAATACGGGGGCCTAATGCTCTCTGAGCGCTTCTTTCATACAGAGAGGGGAGGAGAGGACCACTCCCGAGGGGTCCAAAAGGCCCTGGAAGGGGGAGAGACTTCCCTTTTGGAGCCCAGAGCTCCCCCCGCCGCCGTTCAGCCTTCATACACGCACGCAGTCGCTTGCGCTCAAGAAAAAGCGCCGACTCTGCTCGGACCTCTTCCTGCGCCCTGGCGAAACGGTTAGCGTGCACTTCTTGCTGCAGCTGTTCATACTGCCTACGAAATCGCATTGGGTCAATTCGCGAGACCACAGTGACAGGGCCCTCCTCAAGTCTCAAGAGGCCCCTCGCGATGGTCGCTTTGGCCAGGAGCTTCTTGGCAAGATCTAGATCATCAAAGCGAACGGCTCTAGCAACCGAACAGGAAATCATCAGGCGCGCCCCCAGAGGTGGGGCGCCAATTCTAGTGAGACGATTCCTGGCAAAGCGAGCGGCCTCACGCATCAGCCTTTTTTCAGCTCCCTCCATCGCGGCATCGGCGCCAGCCGATCGATGTCCGAGTGTCCGATCAGCGTGTCCAGCGCCTCCGCGCATTCCGCCGTCTCACAAACAAAGCGGGGTGCCACCTGATCTTCAGGAGGCCGACGGCGTCTGGGATAGAAAACCACCTGCACCGGCGCATGGTCCGAAATCCCTTCATCATCCAATTTCTCAGGATCCACAGGTACTGTAGCCGTCATGTTCCATTGTAGCAGTTTCCATTGCGGTGTCGATATCATCACCCGATCAATCTGCGTCAGCTTCTGTCCGTCCTTCACAAAGTGCGTTGGCCCCTCTGGATCAAGTTCAATCATGCCCTCCATCCCCTGCGAGAAAAGCTCCCCATCTTCCGCGCGCTGGGGTCAGTGCCCACTCCTTTGTCGACGAGCGGAACGCGGAGATGCGTAGGCGCCACTTCGTGATAGTTCAGATCCCCCAGAACTACAATCGTCATATGATCTGGGCAAGTCATCGCAATCTGCACTTCCGCCCTGATCCTATTCGTCAACTGATTGACCTGCGCCGCACTGAGGCCATAGTTATGCATGTTTTAGCAGACCAGCATAGCATCCGACCTGTCCTGATTACCACTTGCTTTGATAGCCGATCTTTGCATGCGACCAGGGTAAATATCTGAATATCTGATCCTTTCATTTTCAATGCCCTCCTCCATTTGCTGCTGCGTCATTTCTGGTAAAATGAATGCAACGCCGCCTGATGCATGCTCAGGGAACGATGCCAATACTGCCATATCCATTCGCCTCAAGTATAGTTGTGCTTTGAGCTCCTCCTTCGCACCATGCAGCTCCAGCAGCGCAACAATAGACATACCCTTCCAGAACCTCTCAATGTGTTACATTTGTTGGCCCTCAAGCCCATATCATGATGTAGCAACGCCCGCGTATTCCAAGTCATGAATGCCACCTGTCACGGCAGCCCTCTTTTGAAATCTTATTTCCAAACCTGTAACGTCCTGTTAAATCGACCACTGCACTGAGTCCTCCACCGCGTGAAATGTAGCATCGAACGTATCCTGCAACGCTTTCTGGCCCACTCCCTGCGATGTGACTGCTGAGTAGTTCCAGAGTAGACGGCTCTTGGAATCAAACGCGTCTCCCGTCTGAACCGTGATAGTCGGTATGGTGTCAATGAACACAATTCCTTTGGCTCTGTCGTGCTTGATCCTTTTGTGCGGCATCTGATCTTTGACAAAGTTCGCCAGGCGCTTGGTTTGCACCTCCGTCCTGATCTGTCGGGCAGACTTGTCCAATCCCACAAATATCTTTGCCCGTCCACCAGGCACTGCATCTGTTTCAAATTGTCTCCAGTTCTGTCCGTCACGCCTGAGTGCACGTCGAGCTGCTCGGACTTTGCGTTGCGCAGCATCACTGTTGCCGAGCATATGTATAACGAATTTATTGCTAGGACTGTCGCCGACGAGATTATACTGATTCTCCGTGATACCCGCCTCAGTGAGCCACTCAGCGAGCTCCTCCACAACTTTCTCCTTGCTGGCCATCTCCGACAGGCTAGCAATGAGCACCGTCGGGTCGGGCTGACGATTCCCACACCTGCATGTCCTCGTAATCTTTAATCGGGATAGCCCGCTCTTGGCAGTGAAGGTCCTTCCGCATCTCGTCCATTTGCTTGCGCATCTCAACCTGCCACTGTTCCAGAACCTCACTTCTCGCCTGAAGATCATGAACCTGGGCTTGAACCTGCTGATTGGCTGCATCCTGTCGTGCCGCCACAGCCCGAACAAGGCCTGTGGAGTGATTCGATATCTCCGAAATGATGGACGTCTTGATCGAGCCCAGCTTTGCCTCCACCGACGCAGAGATCTCCTCTTTGAATGTTTTGAATAGCTCGTCCAGTGAGCTCTGTTGGTCAGGGGCCAACCCACCTCGAGCTGCGGCGGCCGCGACAGCGGCGCTGCCGCCAGTGGGGGGACCCCGCAGGCTGAGCAGCCGAGTAGGTGGCCCAGGGGTCTGCGCTCCCTTGAGGCGGGTCAGCAGACCGTTGGCCAGCAGCAGGACGGCGAGCAGCAGCAGCCTGAGAGCACCGAACTTCCTCCTCCCTCCTCCTTAGCGGCGCCACGGACAGGTTCCTTTGATCGTGATCTTCGTTCTGCCGAACACGAACCACCTTCGCCACTGCCACGGCTCCGCTGCGGACCTCCCGCGGGAGCGTCGCCTCGCTGGGGCGCAGGTAGCCGAGCAGCGCTGGAACCATCCGCTGCGCCAACTGGCATGGAAAGAGCCCTCGGAGGGGCTCGCGCGGGCGGAAATGAGGGCCGAAACAGCGTGGTGCAGAAAATGAGAGATGTCTGCAGCGGCCAGAGCGGGCTCGCAACAGGAACAATATAGCGGGACCCTATCCAACTCGAGAAACGAAGACGGATGGGCCAAATCTAATCGCAACAACTCGGGTGTTTCACCCTTCGTTACGTTTAGACTTGAGCCAAAATGGCTACGGATCCTCCGCCTCCTCCTCCTCCTCCTCCTCCTCCTCCTCATCCTCCTCCTCCTCCTCCTCCTCCTCCTCCTCCTCCTCCTCCTCCTCCTCCTCCTCCTCCTCCTCCTCCTCCTCCTTCTCCTCCTCCTCCTCCTCCGCACGCGGCTCGCCCGAGGGCCGCGGCTCGACCCGGCACGCCACACGGCGCACCCCCGGGGCCGGCCAGCTCCAGGCCAGCAAGCCATGAGCAAGTCGGGCTCCAGCTCCAGCCCCCGAGCAGGCACTCGACAGACGCGGGGGAGGAGGAGGACACATCGGCGGCAGCTCCACGCACGCAAGGCCACGACAGGGAGCGGCCAACAGCGCGCTGGCCGTCGGGAGCCGCACAGATCCTCTCCTGGGGGCCAGGGGAATGGCGTACCCTGAGATCCGACGTTGCGAAAAAAATACAACATCGCCAAGAGATCACGCCCGGACCCCCGGACCCATCTTTCGACGTCACTTTTCGAGCCCGATCGATCTGAGGGCCCCAGGCCCCAAATCGAGAGAAATGCCCGCTGTGAAAAAAATACAACGCCAGGATCTCAGGGTACTGCACGTTCGTGTCGTGTCGACCCTGGCGTTGGTTCCCAACACCGCGCTGGATCGTTCAACCTTGAACGATCGGCCGTCTCCGCAACGTCCGATCGTTCAACATCGACCGATTCTGGGCCGCCGTCGGCGTTCAACGTTGAACGTCGGCGGCGGGGTCGCCGCCGGTCGACACGACGCGAACCTACCGTAAGCATTTCGAGATCGGGCTCCGCGGCCGAGCGGCCGGGCGACGGCGGCGGCGGCGGCGGGACGGCCGGGGCCCACGCCGCGGAACGCGGGCGCGCGCGCGCGGCTCGGCGCGCCGCGCGGTGCGGTCCGCGCGGGCGCGGCTGCGCGGACAAGATGGCAGCGCGCGGGGAGGCGCGGCCTCCTAAGGACGCAGGGGGCCTCCTCAGCAGCCTCCTCCTCCTACACCTCCTCCTCCTCCTCCTCCTCCTCCTCCTCTCCTCCTCCTCCTCCTTCTCCTCCTCCTCCTCCTCCTCCTCCTCCTCCTCCTCCAACTCCTCCTCCTCCTCCTCCTCCTCTCCTCCTCCTCCTCCTCCTCCTCCTCCTTCTCCTCCTCCTCCTCCTCCTCCTCCTCCTCCTCCTCCTCCTCCCTCCCTCCTCCTCCTCCTCCTCCTCCTCCTCTCCTCCCTCCTCCTCCAACTCCTCCAACTCCTCCTCCTCCTCCTCCTCCTCCTCCTCCTCCTCATCCTCCTCCTCCTCCTCCTCCTCCTCCTCCTCCTCCTCCTCCTCCTCCTCCTCCTCCTCCTCCTCCTCCTATACCTCCTACACCTCCTACACCTCCTACACCTCCTACACCCCCTACACCCCCTACACCTCCTACACCTCCTACACCTCCTACACCTCTTACACCTCCTACACCTCCTACACCTCCGACACCTCCTACACCTCCAACACCTCATACACCTCATACACCTACCGCACCCGCACACAATAATTCCGACAGCTTGTCCAAAAAGACACAAGTACAATAAGACCAAGAATATGAATAAGAATCCGAATCCGCCGACCCTGTCGGCGTGTGTGAGGGGCTTTTCCGTTCGAGCCGTCATCTCCGTCATTCTTTGTAATCGTCGTCTCTGTCGTTCCCTTTCCCTGGTACCCCTCTTCCCCTGGGCTCCTCCCCGCTCCCCTCGCCCTTTCCCAGGGCCTCCTCCTCAAGCGCGCTAGCCAAACCGACCTTCAGCAACGTCGTAATTGATTCGAAGGGAAGCCCCTTCCCTTTCCCTTCCCCGACGGGGGGGGGAGGGGGGGTCCCGGGGGGGGTCCCGGGGGAGTCCCGGGTCAGATACGACGGCCCCCCCGTACCGACCTTGAGCAACGTCGTAATTGAGTCGAAGGGAAGCCCCTTCCCTTTCCCTTCCCCGACGGGGGGGGGAGGGGGGGTCCCGGGGGGGGTCCCGGGGGAGTCCCGGGTCAGATACGACGCCCCCCCCCCGTACCGACCTTGAGCAACGTCGTAATTGAGTCGAAGGGAAGCCCCTTCCCTTTCCCTTCCCCGACGGGGGGGGGAGGGGGGGTCCCGGGGGGGGTCCCGGGGGAGTCCCGGGTCAGATACGACGCCCCCCCCCCGTACCGACCTTGAGCAACGTCGTAATTGAGTCGAAGGGAAGCCCCTTCCCTTTCCCTTCCCCGACGGGGGGGGGAGGGGGGGTCCCGGGGGGGGTCCCGGGGGAGTCCCGGGGAAGTCCCGGGTCAGATACGACACCTCCCTCCCCCACCTTCTCGTCCTTCTCCCCGTTCCCCAAAACCATCCCACAGCCCGTGCCTCTTGCTGCGCATTGCGAACAGGGTCGGCGGCACCGGCCGTAAGGCCTTCGCAATAGTAAAGAGAATAACTGCAATTGGTTCCCCCGCCGAACACAGCAATAAAGGCTGTATCGCCCATGCATGGCCCATAAAGACACCATTGCCGGGACCCTGCGCCCGACCCCCACTTTCACCCTCCGACATAAACGGTGGGGCTTCTCAGAGCCACTTCTGGGAAGCCGTTTGCGTCTTCGCAGAAGGCGTAGGAAGCATCTCAGAGGGCTGCAGGCCTTCTGAGTCCTCTGAGAAGACCCGCCCCCTCTGCCTTCCCCCCTGGGCGCGCCGCCGAGAAGCCTTCGGAGGCCCAAACGACCAGGAGAGGCAAGTGCGGAATTGCTGCTGAGTGCTATGCTATATGGGTGAAAGCAAGACAAAGATCTTGGGGAATGCTCGTAAATCTCTCCGTCTCCCAACATAGCCGCCAGCTGCCGACGGTGCATCGGGAGAATAAAAACGAGGCAGTGGTAGGGGTGGGGTGCGCAATGCTGGGGACGACGACGAAGCCGACAGCGACACGACGACAACGACGATGAAGACGACGGCCAAAACACATCCGCAAAGGGAGGGGGAACAATACAAGGATACGGCAATGGCTGGAACTCATGATTAGTTAAATGACTCACATGGCTTGCGAGTCAAAACAGTGTGTATGCCGCGGGCGTTCCTGAACGACCCGATGGCATGGGCGAAATATGGATCCGTGGATCTGGCGCATGGGAATCAGATGCACGGATCGGGAAGATGCCCCCCGAAACATGAAGTCAATGCCGCCCGATTGAGCGACGGAACGGCTCGAGTGTGTGTGAAAACGGGAACCGTCGCCAGTCCCCGCGCCCTGATCTTTTTGTTTGAGCGCTCCTCAAAACCCTGAGAGCCCCGAGCGCTCCCCAGGACCTCCGTACAGCTCCTTTGTCCCCAACACGTTCTCCCCGTCCCTATTCGGGTCGGGCGATGTTTTTCCTCTCCTCGCCACTCGCCAGCAAGCAATGCTTCAGCGGAAGACGGAAAGAAGGAAGCGAGCCCTCCTTCTCCTGCTCCTGCGTGTCGTCTTCTCTCCTCTCGTCACCCTCGCCAAAGAAACAGCGAGCATGGAGACGCTGCCTGTGAAATCGGCATGAAGCACGTATCAAGGAGCCCGCACGTGAAAATGTTCAGAAAAACAGCCTGCGAAAATTAGGATCGGCGCTCGCGGTACTGTGCACCACAAAGCCGTGCTCCTCCGAGCCCGTGGGGGGCACGCCGGCAACGTGGTAGCGCGGCCAACGCGCTCCCCGACCGTCGGCTCGAGGAACAGCAGGAGGCAAACTGGCGGGTCCTGAGAGTCTTCAGCTGCGCCTGGCTGGAAAAAACAGCGGGGCAGGCTCATTCCCCCCCGAGGCATCGGTCGAACTCTTTGCCGCTGGGGTTGTACATCTTGCCGTCTGGGGCCCTGTAGACCTGCTTCGAGTCGATCGGGCATATAACGATGGGCCAGAAGCAGAAGCAATATATGCAGAGCGTCACTGGGCCTATGTAATTCGCTTCCGTCCAGGCGCCGCCGGGCGGGGCCCCCGGTGGCTCTGCGCCGCCGGCCACAGCCACGGACGATGGCTGGGCGGGGGCGAGAAGCCCAGCGCCCGTCGTCGGGTGCGTCGCCGGGAGGTACAGGCCGTCGGTGGTCTTCAACCACCCGCCCTCAAGCACGCCAGCCACCACATGCCCAGGCGAGATCGTCATGCCTGCCTTCTTCCCCATGTCTGGCTCGGTCCGGTACTCGATGTTGCGGCCGCTCACGTTCTTCCAGCTGGGCGGGGCAGGCGGCGGGGCCAACTCGAACAGAGCAGACCCCGTCACCGGGTGCTTCGCAGGGAGGAACAAGCCGTCTTCGGTTTTCAGCCAGTCCACCTCCATGACGCCAACGATCGTCTCCCCCGCCTTGACCGTCTTGCCCGCCTTCTTCTCCACGTCTGGCTCGGTCCGGCATTCGATGTTGTTGCTGCTCACGTTCTTCCAGACTGTGCCCGCGGCGACAACCATCGTGTGCTGATCAGGCGCGGCGGGGCTAGTGCCTGAGTTGGCGGCCATGTCTGCTGTCCCGTGGGTTTCGGTGTCGGGCGCGCTGGCGGTCGCTCAGATAGCGACGGGGTGGGTTCTCTGGCAGGACCCTTGAAAAGTGCTTGAGCCAAAACGGCTACGATATTCGGGTCGGCCGGATTGGGGGGGTCGCGAGTCAGCTCACGTATCTGACTCTCGGCGGGGCCGAAACCAGTTGCGCACAGCAGATGTCGATTGCCCCTCCCTTACCTATCCCTCCATTTCGACATGACTATTCCCCATCCCGTTCCTCCCGACCGCTCCCGCGCCGCTTCAGAGAGAGCCAGGCCTGTGAGCGTGGCTCGGATAGCACAGGCCGGCCCCCTGGAGGGCCATCACTTCACGACTTTCCTGGACGGAGGAGAAGGACTCGTCTGCGTCGTCATCGTCGTCGTCCACCTCCTCGTCCTCCTCCTTCTCCTCTTCCTTCTCGTCCTCCTCATCGCCGTCCGTCTCCTCCACATCCCCCGTCCGACCCTGCTCTTCATATTACTATTGAACCTCTCCGACTTGCTCCTCTGTACCCTCCCCCACTCACTACACTCCCCGTCTTCCCCTTCCTGGGAAGGGCAGGAGGGGGTAATGGGCACAATGGAGGGGAATCTGGAGAGATAGAAGGGGACGATGTGGAGACGAGGGAAGAGGAAGGCGGGGGAGGCGAATCCAGGAGAAGACGAGGAAGGAAAAGAAGAAGGACAAGAAGACACATAATACGAAGAAGGAGGAGAAGCAGAAATAAGGAGAAGAAGACAAACCATAACACGAATGAGAGCACGAAAAACAGCATAAACAGAAAGCGTCGGAGCTCCGCACGAATGACTCGGATCGGCGCTGAAGGCGCCGCCAGAGGGGCCCAACCAAGTGCGGATCCAAGAGATCCGCACGGAGCTCCAATAGTTGATGTCTGTGCAGCTGCCCCTCCTCCGAGCGACACAGGAGAGGAACGAGACGGAGAGGGCCTGCCCCTGCCCCCACCCCCCTCGCCCTCGACAGAGGCAGCCCCTGCCGCCCCCCCCCCTTGGGGGTCTCACGACCGCGCGGTGACAAGCCGCGCGGGGACCTGCGCACCCCAGGACCTCACCGCACGGTCCGTCACTGCATGGTCGCAGGATCAGGTCGGGCGTGTCCTCCTGCAGGCGGATTTGGGGCGCAATGCTCGAAAAGAGTCCAGAGACTCAGACAATGGTGTGACTATTTCTTAAATCTTTTCCTCCTGTAGAGAGAGAGGGACACGCCCGACCTCATCGTAGGAGTCCCCGGAGATGCCCACAGGCCGCGCGAGACGTCCCCGGAGAACGGCCGGAGCCTCGCAAAGCCGTGCGGCGACCTCGCAGTCCCCCACGGAGGCTCACCGCGCGACGTGGCCACCGCACCGCGCGGGGGGCCCCCGACTAGGAGACCGATTTCTGACCACACCCACTTCCCGAGGTGCCTTGCGAAAAGCGGTTTCCAGAGGTGGAGGTGGGCAGTTCCCCGCCCCAGGGGAAGGAAAAACTATCCACTTCCACCCCCGAGGGCCTATCATAGAATCGAGGATCCAGAGGTGGATGTGGTCAGAAATCGGTCTTCGACCGACCCTCGCCTGAGGTCGGGCCAGTCCTCCTGCAGGCGGATTATGGACGAAAAGTGGCAAATAGTCAAAACAAAATCGAAAATGCTCAAATATTCCAGAAAACCGTCCCCGAACTATTTTATCTTTTGACTTTTTCCCCTTTCCCCCTTCCCTGCACCCTCCTGTTCAAGGCTGCCAGCGAAAGAAAACCGTAGCAACGTCGTACTGAAGTCGAAGGGAAGCCCCTTCCCTTTGATCCCGGGGGGGGGTCCCGGGGAGGGTCCCGGGAGGGTCCCGGGTGGGGTCCCGGGGGGGGGGTCAGATACGCATCCGCCCCTGGGCGCCCCTGAGCCGAAAAAAGAACCAAGACGCGCCAAGAGTGCCCGAAGAGGCCCCCAAGAAGGTCCAAAGTGCCCAAGAGGCCCCCAAGAAGGCCCCGAGACAGCCCAAGAGGGCCCCAAGACGGCCCAAGAGAACCTCAAGACAACCCAAGAATGTCCCAAGAGGGCCCCAAGCAGGCCCAAGAAGAGGACCACGAACCGACATTTCGAGCTTCCCGCCCCAAGAAGCCCCCGGAAGGCCCAGAGAGCCCCTCAAGGGGCCCGGATAGGGCCCTAAGAGACTCCCAAGAGGCCCAACAGAGGCCCCAGCAGGCCCGAAAACATCCAAGAGGCCTTTCAACCACAACCCCCAGCACGGTGGCGGGAAGGGCCGCAGGCTACAAGGCTCCCTGTCTGTCTCTGCTACGACTCCCTCGACCCACATGGGGAACATCTCCTTCGCCTTCTCCTGCTCCCTTCCTCCTTAATCCCCCTCCTCCTCCTCATCCTCCTCCTCGTATTCGTCGTCGTCGTCTTCAGGGTCGGCGGCACCAGCCGTAAGGCCTTAGCAATAATAATAATAACAACAATAATGATACGAATAATAGGAAGAATGTGAATACAAATAAGAGTAAGGATAAGAATAAGGGAAAAACAAGAAACAAACAAACAAACAAACAAACAAACGAAAACCGACGGGGTCCCCTGCGTCTTTCCTCCCTCCCTCCTTTTCTCATTTTCTTCAGCATCCTTTTCCTATACGATTAGTATTACCACCCCTATTTAAGAATTGCTGTTTCCCGGCCGTCGTGTGGGGTAGTGCATCCGAGGATATCGCCCCCGTCACGCACGGCGCGTTATCTTAGCACCTGCACCGCCAAGATTGTTCGCCCCCCATCGTAGGCACGGACGGCTCCTTTTCAAAGCTGGGCTATCCCTTGCGTGGGACTTCATGTTGTTATTGTTGGTTTGGGCGGTGTTGTTGGTGTTTTTGATGTTGACGTTGTTGTTGGTGTTGCTGTTATTGGCCTTGTTGTTCTAGGTGTGATTGGCATTGCTGGTATTATTGTCGTTGTTCGTGTTGGTGCCGTGCCGTAAGGGAGTCTTGAGGAGGAGGAGCATGAGGAGAATGTTGTCTGTTTAGCTGGGCCAAGGCCTCTTGACTGAGACCTTGGCCCTCGGCTTGATCCGTAATGGCGAATAAGAACGCAAATGGCTACGGGGGGGAGGAGGAGGAGGAAGAGGAGGAGGACCCCTGATGAGGAGGAATAGGACGATATGTCCAGGCGGTTTGCTTGTTTCGGCGAGCAGACTCGTCTGCGTTCACATAAAGGTGCGAGGTGCCAGGATAACGCTTCTGGGGTGCCGGGTGCGTTCTAGTTTCGCTGGAGAGGGGGGGGGGTCTTAATTGCTTCGTGAGGTTAGAGGTTGACACCGACACCAATATCGGCGGTGTTCCTCCACCGAGGGGAGAGGATCCCGATCTCGGTGATGGTGGTAATATTCTGGCTTCCAAGGTGACCGAAATGCTACCACCAACACCGAAATCGAGGATCGTCTTCCCCCTGTGGAGGCAACCCCCTGTGTTGGTGTTGGTGCCAATCTCCCGGCCTCCCACGCATTGAGAAGATCGAGCCCGAGGCGTTTCGTGGTGCTCCGCTCTGGAGGGTCCTCGCCGGGCCCCAGGAGCGTCGAAGAGGCGGCTTGTCCCTGGGAAGTGGTTGCGACTTCCACGGGCGCCGCCCAGCAGGGCGGCGTGAGCGGGGGGCCTCTCGGAGGCTCCGCGGGGGCCTCGTGGGGCGATGGCGGTCTCCCCTCCTCACTGGGGCAACAAGATTTAAGTCGGGCGTGTCCCCCTACAGGAGGATTTTCGACGAACGCTAAAAAATACTCCCAAAATACCCCAAGAAGGTCAAAAAATATTTAAAACTAGTACCCAGACTATTTCTGGACTGTTTTTTTGACTATCTTTGGGGTATGTTCTACTTTTCGTCGAAAATCCCCCTGTAGGGGGACAGGCCCGACTTAAGACAAGATCTGTACATATCCACTGCCCCATGACTGGCCCGTCCTGGGACCAAGAGCCGTGGGAATTCCTCCTCCTCCTCTCCTTGGCCATCTCGGGAGGCGTAACTATACACAGCTCCAGGGCACAGGATGGAGCAGACCTGGGGCAGCGGAGATGCACACACCACGTCGCCCCATTCAAGTCACACCATTCCCAGGCGCGTAGGGCGGCTCCAGAAGCACCGCTATCGGGTCGGAAGAAGGGAGGAAGATTAGCCAAGGAGGGGTTAGCGAATTTGAAGGGGCCCCAGGACACACAAATAAATACACACAAATAAAACTATTCCCCATATTTTCCTATATTTTCTTAGTTTTTGTCTTCCCCCTCACTTCCCATATTTTCCCATATTTTCCTGGGAATCGACGATTAATTGTGTCTGTGTTTTTTCCCCTCCTGCGAATTGGCTCACGCAGCTAATTCTCCCAGCGCTGACCGGCGCCGGAGGCGGCACTGTATCAGAGAGAGGGCCTGGCAGCGAAGCCGAAACCAGCTGCAGGCCGCAGATGTCGGACCCCCGCCCCCCGCTGTCCCTATCCCCCAAGGTCGCGCCCACTGTGCGGCGAGGACCGATCCACCACCACCGCCTGGGGAACCCATCTGCGGAGACCTCGACACGCGGGGGATGTGGATATGTTTGGCCCCTCCCAGGGCCCGAGTATGCCCATACAGTGCGGACGCGGCCACAAGAAACCCTCGCAAGAAACCCAACCCTGAAAACCCGCGGGCGAGGTGCACCTGAGGAGAAACCCGGAGCACCCTGAACGCAGCAGCTGTTTTTGACTGCCGCGGGAAGTCACCGAGCAACGCGCGGAGCGAAGAAACCCACGGTACCCTGACGAGAAGCTTCTGGTTTCTTGCTGCGCGCCCCCGCTGTATCGGCTGCCTGCCGAGGTCCCCTGAGGTCGACTCCCTGGGCGGTGGTTCTGGATAGACGCCGGCGTCGACACTCCCGGCAGGCTGGAACAAGATTTTCTGTGTGAGTACTTGTCATACATGCGAGACCGTGTGTAGCAATCCGCGAGGGGTCGTGTTCATGATCTGCATTTTTCCGCTGCACGTGTTCTTCTTTATGCATGGATTACGCCGTTCCCGCAAGCGGGACGAGACGTCCTAGGGCGCTCGATCGGACTTCTGCTTCTGCTTCTGCCAGCCCCAGACGCACGCGGCCTGCCCTGGCGAGGGGGGCGGCGCCGGGAGCGCCGGCGGGGGGAGGGGGGGCGGCTACGGCGGGGGCGGCGCCGACCCCCCGAGGAATCCGCGTGGAACTCCGCGAAAGCTGATGTTGCGATAACTGCTGGAGGAAAAAAAGAACTACAGGGCAGTTTTTAATACATGGGATGTTTTTAATATATGATTTTTGAAACATGACTAATGTATGAATGAATGTATGCATGAACTCATCGTTGTTTTTAGTACCAAATCCCTGCATTTTTAATATATGATCCGCACGCGGACCATGTATTAAAAACGGCACTGTATGCACATGCACCGATTCTGGCCAGGCCCATCCTGAGCCCAGGATCGGTGCATGTGCGCAGTTCTCTTCGCCCGAAACTGTGACCGAAACTGAAGCTGCAACTGAGATGGGACAGAAAGCTGCCAGAGTACTGTATATGGACTTCACCTTGAGGCATCAACCGCCGCAGCAGAACAGGCCGCCGCCTGAGACCCCCGACGTGGTGACTGTATCAGTGCATGGCCCCCTGCTCTGTCGACCCCTTCCTGGGGACTGATTCTTCGTCCTTGGTAGTTCTCCGATGGACCTGGAAACCTGAAACGGCTCCCCGAGGGCGAAGGTGACGAAAGCCATCCGCCATGATGTCGTTCAAGACGTTGGAACTCGCAGCCCGGACTCCAAAGACGGGCACCAGACCCGCCCAGGAGAGCGCAACCCCGAGGAGAGCTCGGCCTCGGCAGCGAGGGCACCCAGGCTTCCCGCGGACTCCTTCTGCCCCGAGAGGCGCCCTGGAACCTCAACCTTTCTGTCGGGCCTGTCCCCCTACAGGGGGATTTTTGACGAAAAATAAATAAAAAAAAAAAAAAAAAAAAAAAAAAAAAGAAGGTCAAAAAATACTCAAAAAATAGTCCCCAGACTATTTTTTTGTACTTTTTATTATTTTGGGGGTACTTTTTATTTTTCGTCGAAAATCCCCCTGTAGGGGGACAGGCACGACTTAAACCTTCGATCGCCGAGCCTCCATCTCCCAGACGCGCGACCCAGGCTCCCCACGGCCTCCTTCTTCAGCTTCTCCACGGCCTTCTTCGCCGCCTCGGAGCCCTGCTTGGTGGTCGGCCTGCCGGAGGCGAGCCCCGAGCTCGAGGCCGGCCAAGGCCGACCAGCCATAACTGGGGGAGCTGTGGTCCTTACCCCCCTGGGGGAACCCATCGCATCGACGATCTCTCGAAAGGGGTGTCGAAGTCGATGGGTCCCCCAGGGGGGTTAAGGACCACAGCTCCCCCAGTTGTGGCTGGCCTGCAAGGCCCAGGAGGGATGCGCGGAGTCGGCGCCCCCGCCCCAAGCGGGCGCGACTCCCCCGCCAACCCCCATGGATAGACAAGAGCGTTCACTCGCACATGGCCTGGATCGGCCGCGAGGGATTTGCAACACATTACATCGAGGCAAACACATGTTTTTCGGACGTTTGCGAGTGGGCACCCTGCGAGTAGCGGAACGCGATCGGTGAATGGAGAAAGATCGGGCGTCCCCAAACGATGCGGTGACAGACCGTGCGGTGACCTCGAACTCATGAAGGACCTACACGGTCCGCCACCGCACGGCTTTGGGGCCTCGGAGGTCCCAGTCGCCCGAGACGTCCTCCGAGAATGATCCAGACCCTAAGACCGCGCGGTCACTTCGAAACCCCGCTGGCTCACCTCGCGGTGTGGTCACCGCACGGTTTGGGGGCCCCCGAAGAGAGCACCCCTCCTGGCCACAGGCCGCCCGGGCCGTTGGGGGCTCGACCATCCCGCGGAGCCGGAGCTGGGCAGGAACTCGGAGCGGGAGGGCGTTCGAGAGCGGACGGAGCCTCCGCCCGCCTCCCTGAGAGGGAAGGAACGGGAAGAGCCGGCCGATTCTTCTAGCAGGAAGGCGCCGAAGGCGGATTGAAACCTGGGAGTCACGTTTTTTTGTTTTGATGAGGAGGAGGAGGAGGAGGAGGAGGAGGAGGAGGAGGAGAGCGCGGCCACACGAACTTCAACGAACGAGGGCTTGACGAGGTATGCTGCACCTCCGCGCGCGAGGCAGCTCCCACGGCCCCATCCAGATCTGCCCCGGGGTATCCCTGAATCTGCCTCGGCTCATCTGGCCTGACCTCGGCCTGTCCAGACTTATCTCGATGTGTCTGGCTTGGCCACCGCGGGTCGGGCCAGACAAACGAGCGAACTGTGCCATGAGAGACCTTAGAGGCCCGACAGTTACAGCAGTGGAAAAAAGTCCACCTGAGCACCGTCCTGGAAAAACGCTGCGACGGTCACGCGCCTCTTCGAACCAGTCGATCGGGGTCGGCCAGGAGGGGGGCGTCCAGGAGGGGGGGGCGCAGATCATGGCCGGCGGCACGTGCGCGGCCCAGTGGGGGGCCGGGGACGTAATGAACTAAGAAGAGGCGCCATGAAATCTGGGGGGATACAATGGCCCCCGCCATGATGTCCACCCCCCCACCCTAGTCTTAAGTCGGGCCTGTCCCCCTACATGTTTATTCTTCGACGAAAAATAAAAAATACCACAAAAATAATCCAAAAATAATCAAAGAATAATCTGGGGACTACATTTTGAATATTGTTTGACATGTTTGGCGTATGTTTGGGGGTCTTTTTTATTTTTCGTCGGAAATCCCCCTGTAGGGGGACAGGCCCGACCTAACCCTAGTCATCACATCCACCCTAGCAGCCCCCGACATGCGCCTCTTCGAATCACTCCAGCCCGCGCTCGAGAATCTGGACGCCCGAGATGGGTAACGGAGAGAATGGGCACAGTGCCCGACAGCAGATGCTGTCCAAAACCAGCAGCGGCCGCTGTGGGGCAGGCGGCCCTCTGCCTCGATTTGGACACGGGCCGCGGCGGCGTGGACAGCGAGTCCAGTCCAAAATGAGCACGATCCGCTGTTGGGCATTGTACCCATTCTTTCCGTGCCCCTTTCGTTCGTGCAGAGAGAAGGGCCAGACCCTGAGGGACAGGCTTTTTTTGATCCGCGGGCCGAGAGCGCACCTCTTCCGGTCGAAGCTAAGCGGGCCGCGCGAAGCTTGAATTGGGCAGAGAAGAGGAGGGAGGAAGCGGCGGAGCCTCAGAGCGAGGCCGAGAGGAGGCACAGCATCGGAAACAGGCGGTGCCGAAGCCGAAGTTCTTGCAAGGGGACGCCTTCGGCAGGAGCCCGGTGGCGACCCTCAGGGACAGGCCTCGCCCCCGCGCGCGACGCGCCAGGGGGAAAGGCCTCGCCCCCGAGCGGCGGGCAGCGCCCGCCCGCGGACCCCCCGCGGGCCGCGGGTGACCTCGTCGCCGTCGTCGTCGTCGCCGTCGTCGTCGCCGTCGTCGTCGCCGCCGTCGTCGTCGCTGCCGTCGTCGCCGTCGTCGTCGTTGCCGTCGGCGGCCCGCAGAGGCGCGGTAGAGGAAGGAAGAACTGCATGAGCATGACCTTTCGGGGCTCCGCGCGGATGTCTGGGATGGGCGCCAGGGAGGGGGGTCCAGCGCCGATCCCAGAGATTCGGGCGGACCTCCGAAGGCTTCTGTTCATGTTTATGCGAGTTTTCCCTCGACAAAGGGGCCGCCCTTTCAGAGAGAGGGCGGCGGAGCTTCTCGGAAGCCCTCGCGCCTCCGGAAAGCCGCCCTTGACTTTGGAGGCTTGGTGGCGTCCCTAAGGAATCAAAAAGGTACCGATCCCGCTACGACCTCTCCCGGGGCGCGTGCTGACCCATCACTTTGCAGAAAACCCAGCCGTGGCGACGAGGGCAGCCCAGGAGGCCCAAAGAGGCCCAAAACGAGAGAAAGGGCAGCAGCATCGGTCCAGCCGCCTTCTGAGAGGGTGCCATGCCACCTGGGAGATGGCAAGCCACGGCCCCGGTCGCGGCATCCACGCCAGGGACGCGGGCCCTCCTTCCCCCCCTCCTCTGCGCCCCGAACGCGCGGCTGCCACCCCCCATTGTGCAAGACGGGGCCAGGGCGAGGGCAAGTCAGGCCAAATCCTCCGCCTCTTCCTCCTCCTCCTCCTCCTCCTCCTCCTCCTCCTCCTCCTCCTCCTCCTCCTCCTCCTCCTCCTCCTCCTCCTCCTCCCTCCTCCTCCTCCTTCCTCCTCCCTCCTCCGTTTCCCTCCTCCTCTCCTCCTCCTCCTCCTCCTCCCTCCCTCCTCCTCCTCCTCCTCCTCCTCCTCCTCCTCCTCCTCCTCCTCCTCCTCCTCCTCCTCCTCCTCCTCCTGTTTCTGACAACGCCCCGCCGCCTTCCGAGAGGGCCGGCCCCCGCCGCTGTGACAGCGGCGGGGGCCGCCGACCTTCGGGGGATTTCCCCCGACCACGCCCGTCGGCCCCGAGCGCCAGAGGGGGGGGGAAGCAGAAGACGACGACGACGACGACGACGACGACGACGACGACGAAGACGACGCCGACGTGGCCCCCCCCGACCTGGCATGGCTTCGGGCTGCGCACACGCAACTGTCCTAGGCGGTCCTGGCTGGTCTCCACAGGCCCCCCCCCCCCCGAACAGTCCTGGGCGGTGTCCACGTCCTGGCGCCGTCTCCGGCGGCGCCCCTGGGGCGGCCCGCGCCCAGTGGTGGAGGTGCTCAGACCGCCCCAGACCACTCGGGGGGCCTGTGCAGGACCGCTGGAACTGCCCGGGGGTCCTGCTTGTCCGCAGCCCGCAGCAACACCACCCCGACCTGTCCTGCGGCGCCCTCTCTGGCCGGAGTGTCGGAACGCAGTCCGCCGTGGCCACGAGGGCAGGGTCGGTCGGCACGGAGTCGGGCAGTCGGAACACCGTCGGGGCGCGCGCCGGGGCGCGACCGCAGTCGGGACGGAGCAGAAATCGAGTCGGATCCGCTGCGACAGAATACGAAGCTGCGCCACGCAAGGATGGGGCCGTATCGAATCGTCCGAATATCGGAATCGAATCGGGTCGAGCCAGCCCGAGTCGACAGTGAGCCGAATCGATCGGATCGAAATACACCCTGGAGAGCTCCCCCCTGTGCCCAGAAAATGCCAAGAATGGCAGAAAGTCCGCCGGCCCCCCTTGCGGGGCCATCAGGCTGCGACGCTGAGGTTTGCTGTTCCCTGCACCAGTTCCAGCTTCAAGTTTCCATTGTTACAATACTGATTTCTGCTTCCTACTGTAAATTGTTACTGTCCGCGCGAGGGGGGGGAGCCGAAAAGGACCCTGGTTAGCACCCCCCGGGAGGGTTCTTAGAATTCCTGGGGGGGCGTGGGACATGTAAAAATGCAGGCGACTCGTGCCCCCCAAGCCATAATCCCTCGAAGATTACACTGCACTCGCGCCCCCGAGGCCACGATCCTTTGCAAATTACGCCACATGCGCGTCTCCGAGGCCACGATCCCTTTGTAATTTACACCACATTTGCGTCTCCGAGACCACGACCCCCCGTAAATTACTCTTCGTAAAATACGCACGCCACCTTCGCGCCCTCGAAGCCACGATCCTTCGCAATTTACGACCCCACGTAATTTACATCATGCTCGCGCCCCCGAGGCCACGATCCCTTGTAAATTACATTAAAATCGCACCCCCGACGCCACGATACCTTGTAAATTACGCAGCGGGCGCGCCCCCGAGGCCACGAATCCGCCTTGCGGACGCTGCCGAAAAGGCGCCCCCCCTCTCCAAAACAGAATTACCCCAGCAAAGCAACCTAACAGCTACGCGTAGAAGCATATATGGAAGTGTGTCAAAACGAGACACTGCTATCGATAATGAAAACTGCATTAAAACGAGACCCTGCTATCAATACTCGAACTGTGTTAAAACGAGACAGTGCTACCAATAGTGAGAGTTGTCTAAAAACGAGACTCTGCTATGAGTACTGAAACTGTGTTAAAACGAGACACTGCTATCACTAGTGGGAGGTGTGTAAAAACGGGACTCTGCTATCAATGCTGGAAGTGTTTCAAAACGAGACACTGCCATCAATAGTGGGAGTTGTATGAAAACGAGACTCTGCTATCAACCCTGTTGCCATCGTCATCGTCGCCGTCGTTGTCATCGTCCTCCTTGCCCTCGTCGCCGCTGCCCTCGTCGTCGCCGCTGTCTCCCCTTCCTTTCTCTAGCCGGCCAGTTTTTTCCGCCCCGGACGGCGCTTCGCGCCTCCAAGCAACTGTTCTAGCGGAGAGCCGGCACAACGCACAATCAGAGAAGCACTGCACAGAGCCGCAGGCTGAGAAGCACCGCGGCCACGCAATCCTACAACTGCTGCAACTAGCAGTACAAGCACGCAAGCTGAGAAGCACCGCGCAAAGAAAACAAGTATGTGAGACCCAGATATCATTGTGGCAATCGCCCTCAGCGCTGGAAACGCCAGCCGGAAGATTGTCTTCGCACAGGAAGTCACGCCAGTCCGGAATCTAAGAAGCACTGCAGACAGCTGCAGGCTGAAAAGCACCGCGGACATGCAATCCTACAACTGTTGCAACTAGCATTGCAAGCACGCAGGCTGAGAAGCACCGCGCATGCAAAACCAGTATGTGAGACCTAGATATCCTTGGAATCGATGTGGTCAGTGCTGGAGATGCCAGCCGGAAGATCTTCTCCGCTTAGGAAGCTACGCCAGTCCAGCGGCTGTCAACTGTCGAGGACGCGCCGGGGCCCACCGCCTGCGCCGCCGCCGATGTCCAGGTAGTCTCCCTCCGCGTTCTGGAGGCGGCCATGTCCTAGCTCCCCAATCGCCTCGTTCCGGTTGGCTAGCAACTCGCCGCTCTCCCATTTATAGAGCACCTCCAATTCCCTGCGCGTGAAAGTCTCCGCCTCGGCGCCGTGGCGCGAGATCTCCTGATACCGGGGGAGCCGAGCACCCTCGTTGTGGAGTGCGACGGCTTCAGCTTTGTCGCGCTGGAGTCGGCGGCGCTCGCCCCGCGAGACTTGCCCGCCAGCGGGCGGCGGCGCGGCTGCGCCCCCGGGCACGGCCTGCAAGACTCGGCGGAGCATCCCAGCATCGAAGTAGCCGGAGAAGGCCAGCAACTCCCAGATCTGCTTTGCGCCGGCAATGCGTTGCAGATGCCGGTGAAACCGCTTGCACTTCTGTTCCCTGGCGAACTGTTTGTTGGCGTCCCCTCCCTTGCCTGTCTCCTGGGCCTTGCTTCTTTTGCTCGCCG